GTTTCTAAGTGGGCTGCAGCTGACAGTAACAAGTTTGAGCGTGTCTTTATAACTTATGGTTGTTGTATAGAGGGGTTCATGCATGATATAAGACACATGTTTTACATAGATGGTAGTCATCTAAATGATCCTTATAAGGGGACTTTGCTGTCAACATCTACTTATGACATTGATAGTGAGTTGTTTCCCTTTGCTTGCCATTATGAAAGAAGAGGCACTTGAAGATTGGACTTGATTCTTGTATGTGGTGAAAGAAATAATAGGCTCAATGCAACTCACAATAGTTTTAGACCGATATAATGCCATAATAGGTGTTGTTCAAGCTATCTTTGGAGGTGAGCAACGTGCACTTTATTACTGTCACATTATGGAGAATTTTAGTGCAAAATTTTTGAAAATTAATAGAGGTAAGAGAAGGATAAGTGGGCAAGGCAAGGATGATGCATTAAACTTGCTTGATGGCATCGTATATGCAAGGCTTGAAGATGACTTTAATGAAGTAATGGGAAACATGAGAAATTTCAATCCAGAATTGGCTCAATGGCTTGAAAATCATGGAGACATTGATAGGTGGTTTTTATTTAAGTTTCCATATAGAAGATGGGACAACATAACCACGAATCTTGCTGAGTCATTTAATTTATAGATGGCCACTAAGAGAAGGCATGGTGCTGCATAATTGATCCATGAGTATAGAGAAAAGGTAGCACGTAAAATGCATACATCTAAAATGGCTCTCTTTACTTGGAGAAATGGTGTTGGTCTAAAGATTAGGGAAAAACTAAGAGACCACATGGCTAGAGCTTAACAAATGTTTGTAGAGCATTATAGAGGAAATAGGATTTGTGTACATACTGACATGGGGACTTGCGTGTTGATCTTAGCTTACTTGAATGTAGCTGTGTAGCATGGCAAATGTCAGGGATTCCTTGTCCACATGCTTGCTCTACCATTAAGTTAACACATGGCAGTGTGTATAGTTATGTGGAAGATTGTTACAAAATCATTGCATAAGAGAAGATATATTGTTGTAGCATGACTCCTGTTGTTACAATAGACATGCCTCATCTAAATGACTACAACATTCTAAATATTAGGGGCTAAGTCTTCCTCCAACCTCCAAGGACAAATCATCCTTCTGAGAGGCCACAAGCTTCTAGGAAGGAGTCATAATTTCAGAACAAGAAGATTTATCACTATTTACTATGCTATCAACTAGGCCATACACGTAAGACTTGTAGTAATCCTAATCCAATCTAGGGTATGATGTAGATATGACACCCTTTTTACATATATTTTGTGAATTCAACAGTCTTTTGTTTTGTACAGTGTGCAAAGATGACTATTAGTTTCTTAAATTGTGTATATGACAAAGCTAAAACTTATTATGTATAGAAGATTCAACCCTTTATATATTTTTGTCAAAAGGGTTGAAAGGTATTTTGATTCAAGTTGTGGATCATGTAACTGACAATGAAACCTTAAAGTCATTTATATCACTTTTTAAGGTTTCATTATCATTTAAATTAATGAAAGTTATTATTTGTTAGATTAGAGTGGTATTTCATTTTTTACTGATTCAGTCAATTTATAGTGGGTACTGATAAATTCCAATTTCTTGTTACATAGTTGTGAATATAGGAACAGAACTTGTTAATAGTGGAACCAAAGTTGTGAACAGGGTGTTGCGAATTTCCAACTCTGATACTTGTCTGGACTTACACACCAGGACTTGTGAATGGCTAATTCATAATTGCGAATATAGGGACAAAACTTGTTAATAGTGGAATCAAAGTTGTGAACAAGGTGTTACAAATTTCCAACTCTAATGCTTGCCTAGACTTGCACACTAGAATTTACGAATGGCTAATGCATAGTTGTGAATATAGGGACAAAACTTATTAATATTAGAGCCAAAGTTGTGAACGGGGACTTGCAAATTTCCAAGTACCAAGCTTGTCTAGACTTGCATACCAGAACTTGCGAATGGCTAATAAATAGTTGTGAATATAGGAACAAAACTTATTAATATTGGAACCAAAGTTGTGAACGGGGACTTGCAATTTGCAAATTTCCAACTTTAATGCTTATCTAGACTTGCACACTAGGACTTGTGAATGGCTAATTTATAGTTGTGAATATAGGGATAAAACTTGTTAATAGTAGAACCAAAGTTGTGAATGGGGTGTTGCAAATTTTCAACTCTGATGCTTGTCTGGACTTGCACACCAAGACTTGTGAATGGATAATAAAAAGTTGCAAATATAGGGACAAAACTTGTTAATATTAGAACCAAAGTTGTAGACAGGGACTTGCGAATTTCCAAGTACCAAGCTTGTCTAGACTTGCACATGAAAACTTACGATTGGCTAATAAATAGTTCGAATATATGAACAAAACTTGTTAATATTGGAACCAAAGTTGTGAACGGGGACTTGCAAATTTCCAACTTTAATACTTGTCTAGACTTGCACACCAGGACTTGCGAATGGCTAATTCATAGTTGCGAATATAGGGACAAAACTTATCAATAGTGGAACCAAATTTTTGAGTAGGGTGTTGTGAATTTCCAACTCTAATGCTTGTCTAAAATTGCACAGCAAGACTTATGAATGCCTAATAAATAGTTGCGAATATAGAAACAAAACTTGTTAATATTGGAACCAAAGTTGTAAACGGGCACTTGTGAATTTCCAAGCACCAAACTTTCCTTGCTGATTTTTTTCCTTAATTCTTTTATTACTTTAGTTAACCTACATTTTATATTCAAAATGAACTTTTAAAAATTAAAAAAGGTAAAAATACCAAACGCACTTTTATATTGATGAACAAACTTTTGTTGAAAAACCAAACATACTTAATTTCTCACTTTTTTATTACACTAATGAAATGAGTCAACTAACAAACTTACAAGAAATAATATGTCGAATAGATTAAAATTTATCATGAAATAATTTTTTTTAACTTTAAAATTGTAAAAAATTGTATCTTTATAATCACTTGATTATTTTAGTTATATAATTACCTTTTTTTTATTAAAGGTCAAAATTATAATTGATCAATTATATATATATATATATATAATTACAATTTATTTAACTACAATCTAACTATAATTTAACTACGATCAAATTGATCAATTATAAACTAACTTCATTCGTTAAAGGCAACATTAGTATCAATTAGTGAAGGTAATTACAAACTATGATCAAATCTAATAATATAAGATTGAAGGAAACATAGCAGCCTTACAGCTTTAGGCATTCTGCTCCAGCCAAATGCATCAAAGTGTTGCTAAGAGAACACAAAACCTTGTGATCCTTTTTCATGAGAAAATAAACATTCAGCTATAGTATCAATTATATTGAGTGCCACACAAATGCATCAAAGTATTACTAAGAGAACACAATATATATTAGGGGGAATGGCTGTGTTAGGTAGGTGAAAGTTAAATATGACATTAGTATCAATTTTATTAAGTACCACACAATTGGCAATCCCTATTCAAGAGGTCATTACACATATTAAAAAATATTCAAACAGTGGCCACACCTTTATATACTAAGTAGTTATTGACAAATATTAACATCCCTCGTTATATACTAAAGTGGCTACCCCCTTCTTTTTCTTGTCTTCTCTTCATTAAGTAATTTCAAGGCCACCTTTTTTTTTATTTTCTGGATGATTAATTAGCTACCACAAAAGCTCAATCCTAAAGTTAGTAACTTCTTCTTGCACCAAAAAAGGAATAACACATAAGTTGAAAGAATAATCACAAACAAAGAACAGCCCTGAAGTAGAAAGAACAACATCAAAGAAAATGTGACACTGTGGGGTCCCATGTCTTCAACCAAATCACGATGAGAACTCCACAATCTTTCTTGCAAACATGTAGCATATAAAAAATAATCATAATTGGTTAAAGGAAACAAAGGCAATATATAAATAAGATAAGCTGTAACAATAGGTAGAGAACGCACAAATTATTTTGTTAGGGTACTGAAGGCCAAATAACATTCACTATTAGTTTCTTCCTAATCAAACTTGGGTTCACCAACTCAATAATGTTGAAGAACCTATTTTGCTATAAAGGAAACAAATTCATATTATCAAAACAACATGCACATAAGACACACTAAGGAGTTGACTAATAGACCATACACATGCATTTGCCCATAATCTTTTTGCATCTAAAGCTCCATCCTTTTCCTTTTCTTTCTCTTTAGTTCAAGACCACTATCCCCCTTTAACGAGTCGAGGACATAGAAGTTCAATGTCTTTGGCTCTAACACAAAACACATCCAATGATGATTCACAAGAGTTGGACTAACAATGAGATCACATTCAGCTATATTGTATCCTACATATTCAGGCAGGATATCCCTCTTGTTCTTTGCTGCCTTCTAAATGAGGGGATTTGATGTCATTTTGCACTATAAACAAGAACACATTATGTAACAAATTGTAAAAAACAAAACATAGTAAAAATGACATTTTAAATTTAATTTTAATGGAAGCTAATCATGAAGTTAGCATCAAATATATATTGACAGATTGGACCTGAATCCTTGATATCACCTATTAATGCATGGCATAGCATAGTCATGAGCTACAACCACCAAGGAGTTCATGTTATTTGCACATTACTATGCATAAATCATAAAAAAAATAAATTTAAACACTATTTCACCCTATTACTAATCCATTAGATTCCTCCTAAATATCGAAGTTCATCACAAGTGAGATATTGATCATACAATTTAACTAAGATCCTGAAACAGGGAATAATAAATAACTTCTCTTAAATTGTCGGAAATGAATGAAAAATTAGGCAACAAAGACTACTTACTTGTCACCTCCCTCCTTTTTACACATGTGCGATACAATTGAAAACAATTGTTGCTATTCATCAACCTTCTTCTTTGTCCTATTCACCGACTTCGATAGAACCTAAGGAGACCTAATAATTGGTATTTTTATCTTATAGATCTCTTAAGTCATCATTTACTATCATTTTCCTTAACTTCCTCCTTTGATTTTTCCTCTCTACTCTCTTCTTGGGAAGACACATGAATTGGAGATGACAAATCATCATTTTGTTCTTCTCCTCCTCCTCCTCCTCCTTCATCACCTCTACCCTCTTTTTCATCATCATCATCTTCTTCTTCTTTATCTCCTCCATCTTCACCTTCTCTATAACCTCCATCTTCTTCTGTTATATCTTCTTCAAACTCAGAATTTGCCTTGTCTTGTTCTTCAAACTCAGAGGCTAGCTTGTCTTCACTACCATATCCTACCCGATCATCTTCTTCCTTAACTTCAACACTTGATTTGCCTTCCCTTTTTAATTTCCACAATGCTTCCCTTTTCATCTGCTCCTTTCTAAACACAGATTCAACATAAACAATTAATCTTTAGTGGTGTTCTTCAATAACCCCCACTACTGTTAAAAACAAGTCCTTCAATTCCTATACATTTATAAAATGTAAGTAGAAAAACAACTTGTTTTATATGCTATTCTGTCCAAAATAGTAAGAAATAAATATCGAGTCTAGATATGACGTCATCGGTCTCTTCTTGGTGATGGTGGAAGGGGGCTCTCCTACAGAAGCACCATAAAACAGCCCAATATTATTGTCTCTCTCTTTTTGCAATCTTTCCTTGGCTTTGCTATCGTTCTAATATTTGACAGCATTTCTTAAGTCATGGTCACTTGTTTCAACTAATGGGAAATGCTTAAAAAAATCTATCTACATGAACATATATATAATTATCACATTATACTTAGGATAAATGCATTACAGTGAAAAGAATACCATAAATTCATCTATACATACCACTAAAAAGTACAAGCATCCTCCTACATTTACAATCCAATCCTTCTTCTTTTTCCTCATTTGTTTCAAATACTCTTCTAACTCGTCATAGAAGTCATCTAATATGTATCTTGACCAATTGAAGTCTTTGAGTGCATTCTTGGTGCAATACATTACCCTAACCGTCCGCTCACTAACATTAGCACTAGTAATCGGACATAAAAGTATTCCCAATGTGTACAACAAAAATAAAAACTCTAAGTTTTCATCCTTTGCTCTAGATTTAATTAATATCAATATCTTCTTATATGGCATTTTATAATATTTTTCCCATAACCTCAAGAATGCTTCGTCTTGGTCATCCACCTCTATTGAGACCCTATGCCCACCAAAGGGCAATCCTATCAATGTGTGAACATCTTCTACTTTCATTTCTTTTGACTTCCCTCTAATGCAAAATTAACAAGTAGGTGGATTATATGAAGATATTAATTGAAAATAAAGGTCTCAAGGGAGTGTTTTCCATCGGATATCTGATAGAACACATTTGTTACCCACTTTTATTTGTCAATTAGGATCCTTTTATTAATGATTTATCACCTTCAAGTGCACACATTACATTAAATTTGAAATTTTGCCTAAGTTTATAGGTTCAGTGTACTAGCGGTATTTTAGTCCAAACATTAAACTTTTGAGATAATGTACAAGAAAAATTAAAAAAGTCCATTTTATGTCCAGTTGATGAGTGGTGAAATTAAATTTTTAGAATTTATTTTAGTTTGGGAGTAATTAAATAAAAAGTCAACACTTTTTTAAAGTCTTAGTTTGACCTAGTCTTCAGTTCGCCTTTATATGAAAATTTTTATATAATTTTGTGTAGCCTAAAACTTAGTTATTTTAATTAAATCTCCCTCCTAATTATGAATTTGATTCTGGACATTAATTGAATTTTATTATATCACATGCTATTTAATTGAATTATGTGATTTATGTGACATAGGTGGCATGTGACTTGTGCATCAATTGGACAATTAAGGTCAATACTCCTTGAGGTCAATGGCTAATTATTTGTACATGAATTATGATTATTTTTAGGGGTTAAATCAGCTTAAATGATGTGGATGACATATGACAAATTAGGCACACATTGGAATCATCTACAAACTAATAGGAAGATGCCACCTTGCAAGTATGACAAGGCTCTCATTTTTTTTTTGTATTTTCTTTTTCCATTTTTTAATTGAGTATTCAGCTGATAGGAAACACTTAAGAGCATGTCCATTCAGCCCCAATTAGGATCCAACACTCATTTTATTCATCTCCTTCATTCTCTCTCTCTTGTTCATAGTGTTCTTCATTTTCGAGCACCCTAACCTCCATTTTCAGCCACCAAACCTCCGCAAAACTCATACCATTCTTCTCCTCTCTTCATTTCGTTCCATTATTGTGAAAAGGGAAGTTCATTTCACTCACTTTCACTAGCATTTTAATTACTTGCACATTAGGTAATTAGTTTAGATAATTAGCTAAGTAACTAAATTCCTACAAACTTTGGTTAATTTATTTCACTATATAACTTTCAATTAAACTTAAAATCATTCATTAGGAGATGACCTATGATTGGCCCTATATTGCATTAGAGTTATCTTTAGTTTAATTTTGAGGATAAGCGACTAATTTTCTATCAAAATTTCGGCACCATTGCCGGGGAATGGTTTAGATTTAATTGTAAGGTTGTTTAGTGCTTAATTTACATTTGTAGTGTTCCTAAAAAATTTCATGAAAAATCATAAATATTTTTGTTTTGTGTTTTTCTTAGTTTTTTTGTGTGTTGAGTCTTTTTGTTCTATTTTGGAAAAAAGAAAAAAAATTAGTGTAATTTTCGTTAGTTTGGTGTAGAGCTGAAAATACTTTGTTTCTAGTATCTCTATCTGAAATTGAAAACTTAACTGGGAACGAGTCTGAGGAAATTTAAACTTGGAATGTATTTCATTGAAATATCTATATATTAGCTTCATTTTAAAATTATTTTGGTCAATTTTGGACGTGGGAAGTGTCGTGTGAAAATTTTATAAGCTAACAAGGTCCAGGGAGCCTTTACAGAGGGCTCCTAAAACCCTATTTCAACTTTGATTTGGCATATCTCCCTCTCTGTGTGTCCAAATTTATTGATCTTGGTCTCTTTTTCTTATTACTGTATTAGATTTGTTTCTTATGTTTAGGATTTTCTTCAATTTTTTATTTTCCTATTTGAAAGTTTGTTGGAAACTTTAAAGGTCTTCTAGACAAAATCCTGTTTCTCTAGACTTGTGGACCAATTTGTGAAAAATTCTGGCAATAATTGCAAAGGAGTTTGGATCTGAAATTTTTATATAATTTTCTTTTATATCTCTTTTGTCTCTCATAAAATTTTTAGGGGAATTTCTCATTTGGATTGGATGATAAGAAATTCACAAGTTCACTATCTCCAGAAAACCTATTGCATGAATTCCAAAATTGTTAAAGCTTCTTAATTGAGCATTTCTAACTCTCTTTCTACCTTTTCAGTGATTTTCATTTGTGTGATTATTTTTTTGTTTGTTGAGTTCAAAAAAAATAAAATAAAAAAAATTCACTTGTTTTTGCATTCTAAAGCTTGCTTGTGAACCTTGATTAATCATGTTCCCTTATAGCTATAATTTTACACCTCCTTATCATAATCAATTTCAAGCACGATACAATTTTAACCCACCTCACCAACAAAGAAATAAATATTGTGTGCATTGTGAGTCTCCTTCCCATTTTTATTTTGAGTGTCCTTCTCTTGTAGGATATTCATCGCCACAACATGAATACCAAGTAATAGGAAATTGCTACCAAACAATTGGAGAACTTACATTTACTCAAGACCAAAATGAAAGAAGTCCATATGATTTTCAAGACAATTACATATGTCCTATGCAAGAACCATAAGGAACTTCATTTTATCAAGAGGGTTCAATTCAATATGAAGATTCAACAACCCAAGAAATGATGAGAAAACTTTAAGATGATCTTGATTCCATAAAGCAATCCATGGAATACCGCCAAAGAAAAGATCAAATGTTTCAAGAAATGAAAAAATCTTGAGACTCTTTGAAAGCCTTAGATGATATGATAGAGAAACTTACTCAAATCAACAATTCATTTCAAGCTTCACAGATTCAAGAGTCATCTTATTTAAGTAACAATTCTCCTACTTTTGTTGAGGTTGATTCTTCTTCACATTTGACTTTGTCTAATGATGAGCATAATGATTTAAATGATGATGACATAAATGAAGAAATTATAGTTGAATCACCTTGGATGTTTGAGCATGAATCATATTGCGAAAAAGTATATCCTTAGAAGAGAAATACTTTGAGTTCACATGATAATTCTCTTGATTTGAATTCAAATATCATTGAAAGTGTTGACTCTTCAATTAGCTTGAATAAAGAAAATGAAATGGATGTTGATGGTAGCGATTATGTATCTTGTATGCTTGAAATTCCAATTCCTTCTTGTGATATTATTGATAGTGCATATGCACTTGCTTCTTCTAACCATGATGTGTTTGAGAAAGGTTAGCTTTTATAGGTGAATAAGGCAATGTGGCCAAACCATCTCTTGATTTCAAGGAGGAACTTGCTTAACTTAAAGAGGCTAATGTGCAAGACTTACAAGAAATTGAGGACAAGTCACAAAAAGGAGAGAATTTGGAGGATTTAAAGCATGAGGAAATTGCAGTCAAAGTAGATGCTCTTGAAAATCCTAATGGTGAAAGCATTAAATTGAGGAATTTCCTTCACTCGAGCTTGATGTCCAAGAAGTTTCTGAGCTATTGGAGGAAAGTTCTATACTTATGGAACCCTTGGCTGAGCACCCTATTGAAATGCTTGAAGAGATCGTGGCTCCTACTGAGGATTTGAATAAGGAATTGAAAATAACTCAAGATTACAAGGAGGTTGGAATTCAAGGAATTGATTTTATAAAGCCAAATGGTAATGAGAATAATATTGATTTAATGCTTGATGATTTTGATGATGAGTTAGCTTTATTTCATAGTACTTGTTCTAATTCCCTATTCACTTGTGATTGTTCACATGATTCTCCATGCCCTATTTGTTTAGAAATTAATTCATTTATTTTTGAAAAGAGTAGCACTCATTTACTTGATGAAATAATTGATGATGCATGTTTGTGTGAAATTAATCATGAGTGCACTTTTTTAGAACCCAATATGCTTGAGGAAGGGTTCTTTGTTGATTTTATAGGTCTAAATGATGATATGGCCAAGAACTCACATGTACTTAGAGGATTTATCATTGCAATGGAAGGGACCTTGGCTAATGATGAAGATGATCAACCACATGAAGTTATAGAAGATTCTACACCATACATCTTAGAGCCATTATTAATTGATCCCGAACCTCCACCCAAGATGCTTCGAAAGAAGACCACAATGAGTAGTTTCATACTACTCCTCAAAGATGAAAATTTCAACTTCAAGAGCTTATGGAGATTTAAACTAGGTTGTATCTTCTTCACCCTTGCTTTTTACTTTACTTTGCTTTATGCTTTGATTTGTTGATTGAGTAAATTGCAACTATGGGGGAGATGAATCTAGTAGGAAAAGGTAGAATTTAATTCTTCCTAGTTGTTTGTTTTGTTTGAAAAAAAGGAAAATTTCTGCACCACACTTTTGTTATGCATTCATTATTGATCTCACCTTATTTTATCACTAGTCTATACATATATTGAGGACAATACATGATTTAAGTGTAGGGGAGAGAAATAAATATTTTATTTTGTTTGTTTGGTTTTGCAAAAAAAAATCAAAAAAATTAAAAAAAAAATTCTTTGTTTTGTTTTGTTTGAGGTTACTTAATGACCTAGCTCTTGAATGGATATTTTGATGTTTGAGATGTGGTAATTTTTAGGATTGAATAGGTGTGAAGTGAATATTCTTTTACCTTGAATTAATGGATTAGAGTGGCACATTACCCTTTCATGGAAGAGGCTAAACACTCATGTGTGATTAATTTCTTAGTGATGTTACCCTCTAGAATTTGTTTCACTTCTTAATTGAGACCACGTGTCTTGCACTTGTTTGATAGGAGATGAAAGATGGCATTCATAAAAATAGCCAAGAGCCAAATAGCCAACCCATTATT